ATGGCAGTGGGTGTGGTTTGGGCTTTGCTTCTGTGAAGATTGACAGCCTTGGAGACCCTGTGGGGCAGTTCCACTCTGTCCTCTAGGGGCGCTGTGGGTCGAAATCCTCTCAATGGCAGTGCATTTGGTTTTTGGAAGGTGCATACTTCCTGATTCTGCAGCATGTAAAAACTGGTTCACAAAGACTATTTCAGTTCCTTGGAAACGTGGCCCTGCAGGGGCCCAACTGCCAGAAGCAGAAGTGATGGGTGTGCAGACGCGACTTGGGCTGAGGTGGGCTCTGTGGTTGGGCCATCAGTTCCTGCAGGTGCCTTATCTGCAATGCCGCCATCAGGTCCATCCCAAACACAGACAGGAGTGGAGCTCGTGGGGGCGTGGAAGGCAGCGTGGACGCCTTCCCCAGCCCCAGTCTTTGAGACCTCGCCCACTCTCCTCTCTTGCTCGCTCACTCAGTCTCTCTTCCTTCTCTCTCTCCTGTCTACCTCTGTCCCTTACCTCTTTCTATCTTGTCTCTGTCTCTCTCTGTCTCTTGTTTTTTCTGTCTCTGTGTCTCGTTCTCTCTGTCCCTGTCTCTCTCTCTGTCTCTGTCTCTTTATCTCTGTATCTCTCTGTCTCTGTCTCTTATTCTCTCTGTATCTCATTCTCTCTGTCTCTTTCTCTCTCTGTCTCTTTCTCTCTCTGTCTCTGTCTCTCTCATTCTCTCACTCTCTGTCTCTGTCTTTCTGTCTCTGTCTCTCATTCTCTCTGTCTCTGTCTCTCTGTCTCTGTCTCTTTCTCTCTGTCTCTGTCTCTCTCTTTTTCTCTATGTCTCTCTGTCTCTCATTCTCTCACTCTCTGTCTCTCTCTGTCTCTCTTTCTCTCTGTCTCTGTCTCTCTGTCTCTCTGTGTCTCTCTTTCTCTGTCTCTCTCTCTCTGTCTCTCATTCTCTCGCACTCTCTCTCTCTGTCTCTGTGTCTCTCTGTCTCTCATTCTCTCGCTCTCTGTCTCTCTCTCTCTGTGTCTCTCATTCTCTCGCTCTCTGTATCTCTCTCTGCTTCAACACTTTGACAATGAGTCTGAGAGCAGACAAGCAACCGTGACTCTGTCACGCACTTAAGCCTCCTCCTGAAACAGATCAAATCCCCTTCTCCAGGTCGCCCAGGCTTCGAGACAATAGTGCCCCCTGTTTATCCTCTAGGCATCTTCTGTCCCAGTTGCGTTGCACTTTTCTTGGCCCTGGAAGTACTGTGAGGAGCTCCTTTTAAGTTAATGATGCCGTGTCTTTTGCAATCACACGTCTCCTGTACAGCTGGCTCTCAGAGATTTTTTTGTTTGTTTGTTTGTTTTGTGATTTGGGTAAAAGTTTACAGAGCAAATTCATTTTCCATAGAGCAGCTCACACACACTTTGTCTCATGGCAGACTTCAGTTTCCCACAATGCAACAGCTCCTCTCCCACTTCCTCCCCATAGTTACCTCTTCCCTGTGTCCTTCCCTCCATGAACTCCTGCCCCCTGAGCTGTCTCCCTGGGCATACACAGCACTTCTGTTCTCCCATGATTCATCTCTCCAAGGAGTGTATCTACCTGAGGTAAATGTTCAACTAATATGCCTGTCCTTTGTTTGGCTGGAAGCCACAGGAGTGGGTTCAATTCCAGACCTGAAGGGCAGCTAGTGGCCATAGTCTCAGGGGTTCCACCAGGCTCCCTCGGGCCAGCAAACCTGGTCCTCTCTTTTTTTTTTTTTTTTTTTTTACGATTTTGACTTTTCTTCCACACTGTTCTCCCTCTCTATCCAGGATCTGCTACATAGATCCCTTTCTGAGTGGTTGACAGTGGTAGCCAGGCACCATCTAGTTCTTCTGGTCTCATAGTCATGTAGGCTGAGGGTTGCATGGTGTACCATTGCTTGGACTAACTGTTCCCATCAGTTCCTCCATGGTCTTTCTTAAAGGCGACTCCGGTGGAGCAGTTTCCAGCTCGCACACCAGCCGCAGCCGTCCACTACATCGCCTCTCATCAGTAACCAGACGGCTGGCCAGCTCAACCTGCTCCAACGCTTCTCACTGCTCCGCCTGACAGCTGTCATGGAAAGATACTCCCTGTCGAACAAGCATGGCTGGACATGGTGAGTGCACGCTCGCTTGGGGACAGTCACCCGTTCAAGGACTCACTGCGATCTTGCCAAACTTCGGCATTTCTGTTCTGAATTCAGAACAACCTCCTCTGCTTCACTGGCAGTCCCTGGACGTCCCTGGGTGGAAGCAAGGGTTTGCTCCCAATGCAAACTCGCCCAGTGGTTCCATAGAAGAAAGGCCTGATGGTTTGCTTCCTTCAAAATTGTTGTTGTTGGGTGCCGTGGAGTCGATTCTGACTTGTGGTGACCCCACGTGACAGAGTGGAACTACTCTAGAGGTCTCCAAGGCTGTCAATCTTCTCAGAAGCAAAGCCCAAACCACACCCAGTGCCCTGGAGTCCATTCTGACCCACAGCGCCCCTAGAGGACAGAGTGGAACTGCACCACAGGGTCTCCAAGGCTGTCAATCTTCTCAGAAGCAAAGCCCAAACCACACCCAGTGCCCTGGAGTCCATTCTGACCCACAGCACCCCTAGAGGA